TTTTTTTTTTTTTTTCAACAAAGGGAAATTTTACAGGAAGGCGGTTAATAGTGCAAATGTCCCCATGAGAACGTGAACCTTATCATGGGCAAAGTTTTTTGTTCGCATTACCAGCCCATCTGGGGCTGCAGGTGCTGATTGGAAGAGGTTTAGTTATCTTATCCGGTCATTCAACCTCTTTTGTTTGACAGAGGACAAGACTGGCCTCGATACATCCAACTTGTCTTTTTTACAATTATATGTATCTATTAGTAAGGATCTGAACTATATATATATATATATATATGTGTGTGTATGTATAGTCAGTAGTGGAGTTAAGAATTTTGGTTAAGAGAGCTAAATTTTCAAATTTTAAAATAATACATTATAATTTCAAAAACTTGTTTTTACATCATAAATTAAAATAGCACTCTGACGAATTTTTATATCAAGAAATCTATTAATAAGGGAGTCTATACTAAATAATTGAACAATTTCTTTTTCAATGTAAATAATCAAAGAGTTTAAAAGGAATTCATCATTTATTTTGTTATGAAACCTTGTTTTTACATTTTTCATGACAGAAAATACTCTTTCTATTGTTGCTGTAGAAATTAGAAGAATAAGCATCAAAGTAATTAACCTGTAAATGAGACTATAAATCTCTAATTTTCTTGTTTCCACAAGCCATTAACATAGCTCAAAAATGTTTGACAAATTCTAAAAATTTTGATCACAACTTGTTTCAATCTCATAATGTTGAAACTTTGTTCTTAAATGAAGTTTTTCCATCTCTCAAAAATCTTGAGAATAGTATTTTTCTACAAGTCTACAAATATTATCAATACTGAAACTCTTGCACCCATTTCTAGGATCCAAAACACCACTAAAAGTCAATAGCTCTATTGTATTTTCATTAAATCTACCATTCAATTCTTACAATTAAGAATCTATTGCAACATAGAAAATATCTACTCGATAATAGTGCTTAACAATAATAATATCTTGTTGATAACGACCACGTCCTTGTCATGCAACATATGTATCAAGCATGTCAAAAACATCTATATTGTTATTCTTACAAAATGATTTTACTTTTTCAAATAAAAAATCACATCCACTTTCCCTAAATTTTTGAATGAGAGGCTACTCCCTTCGATGATAGCAGTAGCAAAGGGCTGAGCCTTCAGTGTTTCTTTCTTTGATTCAAAGAACTAAAAAGAGAAGGGCCAAGACTTCAGTGTTTCTTTTTTTAATTCAAAAAACTAAAAAGAGAATGAACCATTTTTAGTAGGTAAGAAAATTAAAAAGATAAAAAACAATTGTCATTTTACTGATATAGTATCTTGATTTGATGGCTTGACTTCCTGAATTGTTTTTCTTTTTGAAGTTGAATGTTGAAGGAAGACATAATGCCAGTCGGCAGCGGCAATCATATAGATGCATAAAAAAACTGGGGTTTTTTTTTTTTTTTTTTTAAGTTAAAGTGTTAATCGATTTTAGCATACCCTCATATGATTTAATGGTAACCACGTTATTGTTTGAATAACAGGTGGATTATATTCACTTTTAAAGTTTGACTCTCCTACAACACAACAGATACTAACATCTACCTCTCCATTTTCTACTGTAAAAAAAGAAAGTGTTAATTGATTTTTAATAGATATTTGAAACTTAAATTACAATTGGACTTATGAACATAACCCACTATTTTAATGGGTAACATCTTCTTTTATTTCATTTTATGTATCTTAACAATTAAAAATATAATATTTAAAATTTAATAGTTAAAATTAATCAATTAATATATATATTAATTTTTTTTTAAATCTTAGGGGGGCCACTAGCCCCCGGTGTCTATGTGAATCCGCCCGGTATAAAATAGAAATTTATTTGTATATAAGTTTTATATATCATATTTATATAAATTTTTATTCATTTATATTTTTATTTTTAATAATTAAAATTTACATATATTTATTAAAAATAATTTTTTCATTTAAAAAATTATGATAAATCTCAATTATTAAAAGTAGAGTGATGTATAGTTAAAATTTTAATAAGTGTAATATATAAGATTTATGTGTAAATATATCTCTTTTTAGTTATATATATATTTGTTAAAATTATGAAAAAAATTATGTTATTTTATTAAGTTCACGTTTTAAAAAACTAAAATAAGATTTTTTAGTCACAGAAATGAGACTGTTCTAATATTTATCTTATGGTCTTTTTGGTCAAGTGACTTAGTTTTGAGGCTTTTTTTTCATAAATTTTTAGAATTACTATTAAACACTAATATCATATATATACACCTAATTTTTTTAGTAATTTAATTATAAACATTATTTTAATTCCTCTTTTTTATTTTCCAGAGAAAATCTCAGCAAAAGAAAATTTTTGTTTTGCCTTCTTTTAGGTATGCTCAACTGCTAAGGTGCTTGAATGGGAAGGTGATTCAAAAGGGGAAAGAGACTGTATAAGGATATCACAGGACCACATCGCGTGTAGCATGACCTTTAATTTTCTGTGTGGAGGCCCATGTGCCCTCCGGATTAAAGTTGAATTAACGTTGGGATTGGAATTCTCCTACTAATGTGGTAAACAAACAGAAGTAATTATAAGAAT